GACGTGGCTGGCGAGGTTGGTTCGTTGCTGGATGTTGAGCAGACGGTTGTACCAGGCTGTACTTTTGCCACTTGTATGCTTCAATTGGTGTTGTTAGGTCCCCTCGACGCCGTCCAGGCGTCTTTCCCGACGGTCCAGCTGTCGGTCAATGTCGACGACTTTGGCCCCATGAGGTGGGGTACGGAGTCGAGAGTTGTGCATGACATCGTCGGTGTTGGTAAGAAGCCCCACAGTGAGCTCAAGGCCGCCGACCTTAGGATCGCCGCCGACAAGTCCCGAGTGCTCGGGAACTCGCCTGTCGTTAGAGCCTCGATCGCTTCGAAGCTCCGTAGCCTTCAACCCCTGCCCGTGAGAGCTGAGAGAAACCTTGGTGCCGATTTCTCCTCGGGGCTCGCTGGAGGGGGGCAAGGCCACGTCCGCCTCCCGTGCCAAGGCCATGTGCAAGCGGCGGCAGCGCATGTCCATCCTCAGGGGCTCCAGACCTCGTCGCCGCGTGCTTGGGCGCATTGCTCGAAGTGCTCTGGAGTCGTCCGTGTTGTATGGGTCTGCCGTGGTTGGCATTAACGGGCAGGAGTTGTAGGTGCTTAGAGGTGCTGCTGGCAGGCTTCAAGACCATCGCATGGATGGCAAATCCCGCACCCTGGCCCTGTCACTGGCTCCTGTGCCCCGTTTGGACCCCATGTTTAGGGCCACGTGGTTGCCCGTGAAGGCCTTCCTCTTCGCTATGTGGCACTCCTGGCTTCCTAAGGACGCCCTGGACTTTGGCCTCCGTGAGGCCCATGAGAGGCCTGTGAATCTGGAGCACCCGTGGTCTTCCATTCGGGGCCCTTTCAGTGCGTTGTGGGCCACTCTCAAGCGTGTGGGGATCACGGCAACTTCGGCTACCTCCTGGACTTGGCCCGATGGGGCCGTCATCAACCTTTCGGACTTCTGCCCCGTCACCATCCAGGAGCTCGTGCACCGTGCCGTTGAGTGTTGGCAGTTCGCCAAGGTTGCCGACCACCTGGACCTCCCCGAGTTTGGCAACGGTGTCATCCTTAGCCCCCTGAAGGCCCTGCTCAGCACCAAGAGTAAGCTCACGGCCCAGCAGAGAGGCCACCTACGAAGCACTGTGGTTGGGGGGCAGTGGCCCCAGAAGCGTCAGTGGGCCGAGGGATATGACACCACGCCTGCCTGCCTGCTCTGCCCTCAGGCCGAAGGCACGTTGCTGCACAGGCACTGCTCTTGTGCGCGTCTCGACAGCCTCGAGGGCGCCCCTGCGTTTCGTGCCAACGTAGCGCAAGCCGCGCGCTCGCCGCTAGCCCTCGCCTTTGCTGAACGCTGTCTGGTCCCATTTCCCGCAATTGCGAGGCCGCCACCTGGGCAACCAGTGTGCTGGGGGCTGGGAGGACCTGACAGCTTCACGGGTGACATTTACCCTGATGGGTCGGTATTTGAAGCTGAGCATCCCAGCCTCGCGAGTGCGGGCTGGGGGCGCGTGGCGCTTCATCCCGACTGCCTTCGGGTTGTCTCTTTTTGCTCTGGCCCTGTGCTCGACCCGTTGCAGTGCATCAACGCTGCCGAGCTCATTGCTGTCATCCATGTGCTGCGCTTTGCAGCGCCGCCAGTGCGAATGTCTTCTGATTCCGCTTTTGTTGTGGATGGCTTCCACGAACGTGGTCGTGTAGCCACCACCGCCTGTGTCGCTGCGCACGCTCACCTCTGGAGGGAATTCTGGCGGCTGGTGGATGACTGGTGGGACGGGTTTGAGCTCTCGAAAGTCAAAGTCCATGCGGCTGCAAGTGACATCCAGCATGGGCGCGCCACGGAGCGCCACAGGTTTGGCAATATGATGGCCGACCGCGCTGCTAAGAGTGCCGCTGCGCACACGAGGGCACCGTGTCAAGGCCGCGCCCAGCTGCAGGCACGCTCCAAGGTTGTCAAGACCTGGGGAGGCTGGATCGGCCGACTCAGCGAGGGGCTTGAAGATTGTGGCCACCCCAAGAGGCACAATCGGGGCAAGCCGCGTCTTCCAAGGCTTTTGTTGTGCGCGAGGCCGCCCCATCCGACGTAGCCTCTCGCGTGCTGGCGGCGCAGAGGAAGCTACAGGATGGAGCGCGCAAGCATGAGCTTTTTCGGATTGCCCTTTGCGAAGGTCCCACGGTCGTGGGCTGTGCGCGCTGTGGCAACTTTGCAGCTGTTCGTGTCGCAGCTCTCAGCCAGCCTTGCCCGCCTGCGGCCACCGATCATGCCATGAAGGTGCTCAAGCGGCTCGGCAAAGGCGAGTTTCGCCTCGGTGCGAAGGGTTTCGCGTCGCAGCGCAGGCGCCGCTGGTCGAGGCCGCCGTCGCTGACTCCCACTGCGCCTCCCAGCTGGAGGCTTGTGACGACAGCGATGCTGCTGACACTTCGGCCCGACCTTCGAGAGCATCCCACCCGTCTGGGGAGGATGCGGACGCCAACTCGGAGGAAGGAGGTCTTGAGGTGTCGTCCTTTTCGAGCGGAGGAGGAGGAGACAGTTTCCCTGCGCCTGCTGTGGCGGCCAGCGCATCGGCAGCGCACCTGCTTGAGGCAGGCGCGGCCAATGCAAGTGCCAGCATGGCCCAGCCCTCGGAGGCACCACAGCGATCGGCTGGCGGTGCTGCAGCTCATGTGGAGGACGGAGGTGTCGTTCCGTCGGCGTCGTCGAGCGGGGGCGGAGGAGTGTGGTCGGGAGCTGCTGCGCCTGCGCGCAAGCAGCGTACGCAGCGCACGGATGCTGAGCGCGCTGCCATTGTTCAGCGGCTGCTGGCTGCTGCCAGCGGCCGCCCTCCTCCCCACGTTTTGCACGATGCTCTCGTTAATTATGGTTCAGAACAGCCCGACCCCACCGTGGGGTCGGGTATTGGGGGGCATACCGTTGGCCATAGGGGATCCTCCCAGTAAGGGAGATCGCCCCGTGGCCCTCGGCCTGCCCTCCTTCTCCCACTTTCTTTTTCACGTTTGACGGGCTTGTGCTGTGCCCCATTCTTTCTTCTGGCCATGCACAGCCCTCCCGTTGCGCGCTGGCGGTCTGGCCGTGCGCAGTCGGTGTTGCCTGGAGGCCCCTGGCAGCAGTGTGGCCCACCGTGGGCCCTGTCCGATGTGCGTGGCTGAGGGCGGTTGCAAGGTGCGCCCTCAGCCACGCTGACCGACGGCTGAGGCGTCATAGACTCTGTGGCGCCCCAGGTTGTGCGCAGGAGGAGGAGGAGGAGGAGGAGGAGGAGGAGTGACCAGGAGTGACCGATGGGAACCACGTCCCAGGAAGGAATGTCGCCGACCTCGAAGCCCGTGGCTCCAGAGGGTCGCAGCACACAGAGATTAAATAGCCCTCCGAGTCGCCTCTGGGGCACCCTGGGGGGGCAACGGTGCCGCCCCTGAGAAATGCGAGCGAGGTTCTGGTGGCCGTTCTAAGACCGACTCGGAGGGCATGCTTTCTCGAGGAGGAGGAGGGGGAGGAGGAGGAGGAGAGGAGGAGGAGGAGGAGGAGGAGGAGGAGGGGGGGAAGGAGGAGGAGGAGGAGGGAGGAGGAGGAGGAGGAGGAGGAGGAGGAGGAGGAGGAGGAGGAGGAGCGCGCGGACGCCTTGGAACTGCGCTGGACCCCCCTCCAGGGGCGGCGCGGGAGGCGCCGCCAGGGAGGGGGAGGGGGCAGGTCCACGAAAACTCCGCGCGGAGCTCCGAAGAAGTGTGTCGTTCCTCGATCGCTTGCCTGGGACGTTATTGGTGGTTATGTGTTGACCATGTTTGAGTATTCTTCCTGTAGAGGGACATGCCCGACTTAACGCTGTCCCCGTGAGGCGACCCCCCCCCGCGAGGGCCCCTCCTGCGCACGCTATCCCCCTGCGAGAGCCTCGTCGATGCACGCTACAAGTGGAGGCCCGTCCACAAGAAACCTCCCTCAAGGAACCCAACCCTGGGACCCCAGGACGTCCATCGATTTTTGGTGCGGGAACGCCGCGCTCGCCATGGCAAAACCATCCAAACCGAAGCAACCCAGGGCACCCAGGAGGCAACCATAATGTTTCTTGGCATGGGCCTCCACCGTAATGAAGGGAGATACATGCGGGGGGGGAGGGGGAGAAACGCGCACCTTTCGTGCACGTGTTGGGCCCCAGGGGGCCCCCTCATGGCACGAGAGGTGCACCCTTCTCGAGCCCCCTTTTGCAGTCAAGGCTGATAGTAAGGATGCGCGATAAGGATGCAAACCCCTTGGACGCCCATGTCGAAGCTTCTCGCGCGGGGCTGGCCATCGAAAGTGGTCAAGTATGGGCTGAGAAAGCAAGGATGCAAGGGTACCCTTGGGAAGGTTGCCCATCCTTCCCATAGATTTAGACTGTATCGCACCCCACCTGCGGCCTGACCTAGGACAGAAAAAAACATCCTTCACGAACATGAGACCCTCAACCGGCCAAACTAATGAACGATCGAGGGCATCCCCCAGGGTGCGCAAGACCACCCCAAAAAACACGAATGACATTAGGGCCCCCCCCGAAGCGACCTCGATCTTATAATTACTTCGGTCCGACCGTACTCGACGCCCGCATCGTTGGCGCCCACGTCGCCGCCAGCCCCGCGCGCCGCCGCCGCCAGCCGCCGCCAGCCGCCGCCGCCGCCAGCCGCCGCCAGCCGCCAGCCGCCAGCCGCCGCCGCCGCCGTCGTCATCGTCGTCGCCGTCGTCGTCGACTTCGTCGTCGCCGCCGCCAGCCGCCGCCGCCGCCACTGCCGTGCCGCCGCCGCCGCCGCCGCCGCCGCCGCCGCCAGCCGCCAGCCGCCATGCGGCCGCCGCCGCCGCCGCCGCGCGTCGCCGCCGCCGCCGCCGTCGTCGTCGTTGTCGTCGTCGCCGCCGCCGCCGCCAGCCGCCGCCGCCGCCGCCAGCAACCGCCGCCGCCGCCAGCCGCTGCCGCCGCGGCGGCCAGCCGCTGCTCGCCCTGCGGTCGCTGGCCTTGCCGTCGGACGGCGGGTCGGCCGCGCGCGGCGGCCGCGGCCGCGGTTGTCGGCAGAGCCTCACTCGGCCTGCTTGCCTGACGGGGCGCTCTGCTCCAAGAGTCCCCCTCCTCCTCCGCCTCCTCCTCCTCCTCCTCCTCCTCATCCTCATCCTCACCCTCACCCTCACCCTCATCCTCACCCTCATCCTCATCCTCATCCTCATCCTCATCCTCATCCTCATCCTCCTCATCCTCATCCTCATCATCCTCATCGTCATCATCATCATCATCATCATCATCATCATCATCATCATCATCATCATCATCATCATCATCATCATCATCATCAGAGTCAAGGTTCGCATTCCGCCCCCGCGCCTACTTCGGCAGACCCCTCTCACGCATGGTGCCCTATAGGGAGCTCCATCCACGGCCGCTGGGACCAGGTTCGCACAACGCCCTTCTCTGCAGGCGCCTCGCAGGGATCGTGCCCCACAGGGAGCCCCACCTGGGGTCCCAGAAACAAGTTTCGCACAGCATCCCCCGTCCAATTCGGCGCACCCTCACGCGACTCGTGCTCCGGAAGGGGCTCTATCTATGGCCAAGTGGGCAACTTCGAAAGGCGTCCCCCCGAATCGTGCTCTGGAAGGGGCTCTATCTTATGGCCACGTGAGCGACGATCAAAAACGGGTCTTGCGCGAGATGGCGCAGCGACCTTACGCGGTAGCTTACGCGGGCCACCAGCGCGGCAAGTCACAGTCAGTGGAGACGAGGGCGCTTACGCGAGACCTTACGCGAGTAGCTTACGCGCGATTGTCGGCGCAGTCGAACTTGTTTTTGTTGCGTCGCTCAAGTGGGCAACTTCGAATGGCGTCCCCCCGCCCATGTCGGCGCATGCCTTACACGGATCGTGCCCCACAAGGAGCCCCCCCTGATTACGGCTTCGCGGGGGCATCCGGTGTATTCCGCACTCGTGCGGATCGTGCCCCACAAGGAGTTCAGCACACCTCTGTACGCTTGCTCCGACATGTTGGCACTCCACGGGCGGTTGCGTCAGGAATCGTAGAAGGCCAGGCAAGCATCCGACCTGGGGGGTGAAACGCAGCTGTGCCTAGAGCGCCGTAGGTGCAGCGGAACGTTTTGGGACTCGCGAGGCCCGTGCCTGATGAAAGGCATGATTCCGGACGACCATCAGAACCAAAAAAAGACGCTGCACTTAGAGCGCCAGAAATGCAGCAACTATTGTTTCATTGGCCTCGAGAGACCTGTGCCTGAGGATAAACAAGAGCCCGAACCAAAGGATTTGGGTTTCCTTGGAGCATTGGGGCCTCTTGGGAGCCCCTCGGGGGCCTCTCTTGAGGCCGTCTGGGGGCCATCTTGAACTGTCTTTGCCGTCTGGAGGCCATGCTGGGCCGTCCTGGCGGCCTCGAGGGCCGTCTTGAAGTCCTCCTCGGCCGCCTCGGGGCCATCTTGAAGGGTCCTTTGAGGTCGTGGAGCCGGAAAATCGCTCGGAGCACTCGGACGGACCCGCCAGCCCCAGGGACTGAAGTCTGTTGTGGGGGGTGGGGGAGTTTTGAAAAAGTGGGTGCCCATGTGGCCCTGGGACCTGGCCGTCAGTGATATATCGACTTTTTTTTTTTTTTCTCTCTCTCTCTCTCTCTCTCTCTATCTATATATATATATGTATACACAGAGATACGAAATGCTTATACACATGTGCACGTTTTTATTCATACATAGATACAGGTGTAACGATCGATTTAGACTTGCATATGCACATGCACATACACATACACAGCCACATACAATTGCATACACCTACGCACATACACATACACACATATACACACATATGCATATGCGTATACATATGCGCCGATATATACATTTGCATATACGTATACGTATACACATGCATATACATGTACATATTCATATATGTATGTCTAGACATGTGCATGCACATATATATATACATATATCAATGTGTCTATATACACATATGTATTGATGAGTGCACATGTCTAAAGATGTTCACAAACATAAATGCATACGCATATGTAAACATACAAACACACATACGCATACATATACCTAGTAATTCGCAAATGTAACCATCTGAGAATGATCAGCTTCATGTTCAGAAAGGGCCTGTAAACCCTTGCCTTGCCGTGTGGCAAAGTCTCCGGCCACGCGAAGGTTGCAATCGCGACACCGGCCCCTGGCGAGCCTGGGCCGCGCGCGCGCGCGGGGGACTTCATCAGGCTCACGTGCTGCACACATGCCGCCGCAGGCGTGCTCACGTCGGAATGGTCGTCATCCCCCAGTAGACCTCCGACAGCAAACCCCGCTTGACCCAAGCGCTTCACGTACAAGTTGAAATATGGCACGCCGCTGTCCGTTTGACCGCGAACGATCTTCAGATTGACTTTTCCAAAGGCTGCCCACTTTGGGGCCTCGACCTCGCTCTGCGACACGCTGTAATGATACCCTCCGGCATGGTTTGCCTCCGCCCAAGATCCCGTCACGTTCAGTGCTTGGAAATACATATCCGTGCACTGCTCACCCACTCGGCGCGCATCGGCCTGCACACGAAGCATTGCGTGCTCAGCGCGCTCTCCACGAGGGACGTTGATCAGAACATGGCTGCCTGGCACCGTCACGTCGAACCGCTCGCCATGCAGGTTCTGCAGGTGGGGATCACCAGAAGCCGACGCCGGTGAAGAGTGCATCGTGAGGTCTTTCATGTAGCCGGTCCAAGTTGACTTCGCCTCCAGCGCAGCCCCCGCCCCACCACAGTACTGAGCGCAGCCCCCGCCCCAACCAGCGTGCATGTTGAAGCCCATGCACGAAGGCTCCGAACTGCAAGATGCCGCAGCTTGATGTTCGGTCGCTGGGCACGCAGGGAACGTACCCGCCACACCTGAATCACCTATGCACCAGTAGTCTACGGTCGGGCCAGAAAATCCGGATATTGTGTCCCACGCCGCCGCCGCGGGAATGAAGGCGACAACCGCCAGCAAGCGCAGGAAGTTCGGGGCCTGCAGGGCTGCCATCGTAGAGCACGGTACGATAGTAACAGTGCAGGCAAGGAGTGTTGTTCGAGTAAGATTGACCAAATCGCTGGCTTGAGCCAAAATGGTTACGGACATACGCATACATATATACATACATGCCATATACAAGTACACAACCACATACACGCACATACATAATCATGCTCATAGACGCCGATGCATATCCATATACGCGTACATACACATACGCATACTAGAACCACGCGCGCGCTTCGCGCGCTTAGGTTCAATCGCAGGCCAGGGCGTTGTCAGCTGTGCAAGCTTCTCGGGACAGATCATTCCATGCCTTGCATTGCCGCGTCCTCAAATAGGTCTCATAAGTCATCCAGTCTCATTCGGTTGTCCTCGCTGTTCGCTTCTCGCTCGTATCGACGGCCTCTTCCTGCTAGAGATAATGCGGGACCTTCTAGCTGTTCAGGGACGGCGTGGGGGGGAGACATCGAATATGAAGTGGGCTGCCTTGGAATGTAGGGGTCTCTTAGGGGATTCTCCTGTGAGGGCAGTATGAAAATCATGTGGCCCGCTAGGGGCCGTTGTGGGGTCTTCTTCGGGCTTTGTTGGGCCGTCTCAGGCCTAGGGGCCATCTGAAGCGCCCCCGAAGCCATGCGCAGGAGAAGAGCGTGAGATGAGCTAAATATTGAAAGGCTACACTAACTTCTGCGGTTTTCGCTCTCTGGAGTCTTTTTTGTGGATCCCTTGGGAGCTCCACCGTTGGAATCATCTTGGAACGTCTTGGGCCACCCCGGGCCGTCTTGGCGGCCGGCGGGCGTCCTCCTGATCCAGCTCGGACGCCTCTTTAACGCCGACAGAGACACCCAAAGGCCGCAAAGCAGGTCCTGGAGCCCGGGGGGGGGCAATTAGATTGCGATAAGGGGGGGTTGGGAAAAGTTGGCCACCCCAGGGCTAGGGACCCAGTCCTCGGTGCACAGAGAAAGGGGACATCATAGCACACTGGTTGGTGCATGGATGGGCGAAGTGAACACGTGGCGGGGGGGTACGCCACACTCGCAAAGACATGCGCTATGATCATTGATTGCGATGCCCTCCCATGGGAAAGGCGAGCAACGCGAGGGAACAGGAGGAGGTACGTGAGAAGAGTAATGCGAGATGGAATGGAAGGAGTGGGTGAGGAGAAGGCGTTGAACGTTCCACTAAAGCCCCACAAACCACGAAAGGGGCAAAGTCGAGATGATGACGCCAAGTCCCCTTTTCTGTGTCCTTCCTCTCCTCCTCCTCATGGCTCCTGCTCCTCATCGTCCTCCTCCTAGTCCCCCTTCCTCAAAGGGCCAGAGCAGCCAAACCGATTCCACGCAGCATGGGATGACACATGAAGTTACAGCGACGGCAAACATTTTGCAACGGAGCCAGCTCCAAACATTATCATTTTCCTTCTTCACCAGTCGCCTACTCTCACTACATCCAACACCTCCCCACCTCACCCCCACCACAATCACACACACCAAATCTCGACCTCCCCACCCGCTTATTCCTCCCCTCTTTTATGGGAAGGGACGGCCAATCGCCGGTCGACACGTCGCACACGTGCAATGTACCAACCTGAGGCCTCAGGTCCGAGATGTGAACATTGACGAGTATCATGATAGAGACGCATCGCTTGGCACATAACATAGCCCCCGCAGAAGCGGATAGGAGCGAGGGGCCTTCCCGTATGCATCAAGTTGAAATTTCCTTCGAAGTCGCAAGCCTGCCGCACGGGCCGATTGTCTAACAGCTAAAAACAATCGCAAGCCCGCCCCACGGGCCCCCCCCAATGCCCCCTTCGAGGCCGCGCGCGCCCCCCCGGTCGGGCCCCGCCGGGCCCCCCCCCGGTCGGAAGAAAGAATATAAACGCGACGACGTTTGCCTGCCCCGAAGCAGCCAACACGCGCACGACTTGAAATGGATTCGCGTGAGCGGAAACCCCTCACTCCGACTTGTCTGGTCAGCATTCCAGTGCAAGTGGGTAGAGTGCGGAGTACCGACAACAAAACTTGACATGGATATTTTTCGACGGAGGCGCATCGGCCTGGCGCGCACTTATCTATCTGGTCGATTGCCCAAGGGTGCGCACGCAAGGCGGACAAATTCAAAAAATCGCCCGACGGCCGGCGTCGGAAGATTTCGCCGACAAGTCGCGTGCCATACTCGGGAAGAAAACCCTGAACGGCCTGCGTGCACCCTGGCGCACCAGGGGATCTACCCCAGAAGCACCAGCACGCGTGCGCAATATGGCAATCGTGCGAAGGGAAATTGAGGATAGAACCACGCGCGCTTCGCTCCTCCTCCAGCTACTCCTCGGCAACGTGCAATGCCGAATGCAAAACGCAAGAAAAAACAAGCCACAGCCAAACGGTGCCTCCCGGCGCTGCGAAGAGGCCAAACGCCCACCCCATGACCTGCGCGATCGCTTCGCCCGCGCGCCTGGGCCCCGAAGTCTAGTCCCATTTGCACAACGCCTCGCCGTCGGCACTGATCCAGCGGTCGTAGGTGAACAGCGGGTTCGTGAGGTTGCCGTGATCCCCCCCCCAGGGTTCCCACGCTGCTTGCAGAAGCCGTATTTGTGCCATCGCGGATGCTCGCCGCTGCCCAGATAAAAACAATTCGTGGCTGGATATTCCATCAGATATCCCAAGCGCTCCTGTCCGAGCGCGTTCGCGGCCCACATGATCATCATGTGGAAAGAGTCCCAAAATGGCTGCCCCGCTTTCACTGCCCCCATCTGCTCGCTATTCCACTTGTCTTTCAACTCCGGGATCAAGTTGCCCCCCGCTAGATGAATCTGATCCGCGATTTCGCGATTCACGCAAGATTGGAACAAGTTCCACTGGAAATAGAACATGTCGGGGGACACAGCACGATCAAAGCTTAAACTCTCCTTCAAGACCAGGTCTGGCCGCAGGATGAGCGCGAACCTGGCGTCGTTGGGCACGTCAGCCAGGCAGGCCCTGTACTGGCCCTGCTGCAGGGGCTGCTCTGCCCTGCTCAGCTCCAGCAAGTTGACGAAGCCGATCGCGGCCCCGAAATACTTCTCGGCGCTCGCCACGAGTCGACGGTTCGCCCCGTGGGGGCGAACACAGAGGTGCACGTGCACCGAGTTCAAAGCGCACGCCCTCTTCGGGGGCTCCACCACGTGGCGCCTGATCGAGCAGAGCGCCACCTCCTGCGCGTCCTCCGAGCTGCGAAATGTTGCCCCTCGGAACACGATCCACGGCTTCTGCGAGAACGTGACATGTTTTTCGCCAGAAACCTTGAACTTAGGAATCGTCCAGCTTTCCTCGTTGCAATTCGCCTTCGGAGGGAAAACTACTCGCTGTTCGAATGGTTCGTCCATTTTAACTTCTTGCCCTATGGGTTCATACGAATTCTTCAACTTGCTGTCCTCTGCTTCCGTCTGGGACAGACTGACTGCGGAAAGTCCAGACAGGCCGGAGCACCACCAGTGACAGCCATATGAAGCGCATGATCAACAAAAGAGCACTGCGATTGTATAAGGTACGAGGCCCTGCTTCGGAAGCAAAGTATCTGCCACGCGTGTAAACTTGAGACATAATGGCTACGGAAGCATCTGGCTTCTTGGAGGCTGTGTGGGGGCCTCTTGGGGTCTCTTGTGGGCGTCGTGGGTATAGGAGCAATTGGCACCGACGGCAGCGCTGCTGGCCATGGCCTTCCCCGCCTCGTCGCTGAATTGG